GAAAGTGTGCAAGCCACTATGCTGCATGAATGGAATCTCATTTTGGATGCAGAGCTCAAAGCTTCCCAGGGTCAGGACATTTGCATTTTGCAGTCCATGCACTTTCTGAAGAGTTCCTTTGCCAGGCTGCATTTTCTGGCAGCTGAGAAGGATAGCCTTGTGCCCAACTTGCACCACAGCAACTCAGATGCTGCACTTCTCTCAAAGGTGGCAACCAACCACATAGGTGACACTGTGGTTGTGGAAAATACCCATCAGAAATGCAAAGACCTGTTAAGACAGGCAAGGCATGACACAAGCAGTCGGCTTTCAAAGTTCCATTCTGTGATCACCTCAAATGTTTTTGCTGGGAGAAGCTTGCCACATTTGAAAGTTTCTGACATGGACAAGGCCAGGAGTGGGGCAAGCAAGAGACATTTGGGAAGTGTAGTGAAATCTACCCACCCAAACAGCCATCAAATGAGCAAAGAATTCCAAGAAGTGATGAAATACAAAGCTTCCATGCCAGGATTCACTTGGCCCAGCACTTCCCAGGATAGCTTGTTCAATGAGGTGGGGTCTTTGGAGCTACTTCTGCAGTTGGGTGCTGACACTTCTCCAGCAACACTTGGCCCTCCAACTGTCACATGTTTGATTGGGCAGCCAGGGGACTTGGTGGCCAACAGATTGGCCAGTGTATTGCTTGTTGTTGTGGCAGTTGGGCAGCATGCATTTCTAGGATGGGAAGCCCAAGTCCTGCCTGGCAATGGTGATGATTTCATGCAGGCTGCCATGTGCACTTCACCATCAGCACTGCAGTGGCACTTCATTTTGGATTTGGATGACTGGATTTTTGTTCCATCAAAACATGTTTGCTTGAACAGATATGGTCCTTTGGTGTTTGAACAAACTGGGGACCCATGCCCCTTGCTGCTTGCAAGAATACAAGCAGGCTTGCAGCTGACCATCAGGCAGTGCCAGGCTGTTCTCAAGCACTACAAGGTCACAACCACTTCACAGATGAGAAAAAGAGACTACTTCTGGGCAATCTTTAGCATTTTTCTGACAACTGATCAGGAAAAGGACAGTGCCATGGAGAGATCTGGCATCAATCAAGCTGACACTGGTGATGGTGATGATGCACATCAAGAGTTGGATTCTGACTATGAAGAGCTTCTTGAACAACTTGAAGAAGTGAACATGGGAGATGCAGACTTAAAGTCTGAAAAGGCAAAAGTCAAAAAGATGAAGCAAAAGCAGAACATAGACGACATCTTGCTTGACATGCCCAGAGGAGGCAGAGGTCGAGGCAGATTCAGAGCAGGCAAGGGCAAGGGCAAAGGCAAAGGCAGAGGCAGAGGCAAAGGCAGAAACAAAGGCAAAGGCAGAAACCCTTTGTCAGAGGTGCTCCAGCCTTCAGAGGAGGCAAATGATGCTGTGAATGTTGACAAAAAGGATGAAAATACAGCTGGTGTGGCTGGCACTGCTGAGCCTTTGGAACAGGCATCAGCCTCTGGTGCTGCCCTGGATGAGAATCTTGGAGATAGTTTTTTTGGTGAGAGCATTGGTGACCCTGGGCAGCCTTCAGCATCTTCTTCAGGTCCTGCCTTTGCTGACACCATGGAGTTGGGAGACCCTCCAGCAAGTGCTGGAGATGGTGCTGGGCCTGTGGATCCTCCTTCTTCAGGTCCTTCCTTTGCTGACACCATGGAGTTGGGAGAGCCTCCAGCAAGTGCTGGAGATGGTGCTGGGCCTGTGGATCCTGGAAATGCTTTGGTGCCAGCAGGGCCAGGTGAGGAGGAAACTGTGAAAAGAAAGAAGGGGTCATGTTTCAAACACTATGAATCTCCTCACCACCTTCTTGACCCACTGGCCCCACCAATGACCAAACTGAGCCTCAACTGCACAGACCATCGATTCACCATCAACTTCAGACAGCAAGCCACATGTGCTGAGTGGAAGTTGCCACAGTGGTCCAAGAAAACATTTTCAAAAAGTTTCTCAGCAGATAGCTGGCAAGAAGCTCTAGAAGAAGTGCATGCTTATGCCTGGAACAAATGGAAATATGCGAGCAAAGAGAAAGACTTTCAGCTGAAAGGGTCTGAAAAAATTCAAGAGAAAAAGGATATCTCACAAAAGACCAGAGATGGATTGCAGGAGTGGATTGACCAGTTGCCAGCCAAAAGAAAGCAAGGCAAGACTGAGTGAACCAATGCAGCAGAAAAAATGAGCAGCAGCAGCAGCAGCAGATGAGCTTGTGATGGGACTTTGGGGCATTTTCTGGAATGATTCTGAATGGTGTTTGTCTTTCTGGAATTTTGTGTAAGGTTATCTAATTTTTCATAACTTTCTGGAATTCAGTATTATTGGTAACTTAGTTTCATGAAGTTCCTCCTGATGAGGGCCATGGGCCTCACAAATGAAAATAACCAGATGGTATGTGTTTTTTGTTTGGAGAATCCAAACATGAGATATATTGGGGATATAATGGGTATCTAGTGGGGATATAATGGATATAACATAAGCATTACAATGGGTACCCTCTGGTAATTTAACATAACTATGGAAAATCACAATGTTTCACTGAAAAATCAACTATAAATGGTCATGTTCAATAGCTATGTTAAATTACCAAAGGTTATGCCCATTGGGTTCCTGTATCATAACCCATCCCACATGGGAGTTTTTGTTGAGCCAAACAATGCCTTGCATCATCCCTTGGTCACCCTGGGGGTTCATGTTGGTGGTCATGTTGGATCGGTTCATGTCGGGTGGTCAATTTCCTAAACCCCAAGTTGGGATGGTTGGTGTAGGGTACCCTCTGGTAAACAAACATAGTAACATAGCTATTGAAAATGCCCATAAAAATAGTGGATTTACCCATTGAAAATGGTGACTTTCCACAGTTATGTTAGTTTACCAGAGGGTAAACCAACAGTTCGATGTGGAAAATCCATGGAAAACATCGAGGAACATGATCTACAAATATATAGTCGTGGGCTTTTCCACATCTGTATTAGTTTATAGGAGGCTAATTATGTTTTCTTTACCTCATAAAGATTGTTTTTGTTGTCGCAGAAGAGTTCATAGCTGATTAGCGCCGTTTAAATGGGATGATTATGCTTGGAAATGAACTCCACTAAAAGTGGAATATATATATATATATATATATATATACACGTACGAGTAAAAGGAGAAATGGTTTTGTCCGAAAATAGGGTCGGTATCTCTAAGTGCAGTGGTTCATCGTGATTTTCCACCTAAAAACTGACCTGTTCAGGATATCCCATATTACCCCATTGATGGACTAACTATACAACCCTGAAATTTATCGGGGTCTTTATGGTGAGGAGGCTTGTTTTATCCGGTCACTTTGCAGTACCTCAAGGATTGGTCGGGAACTCTCGGCTTGCTATGGACTGTGGAAGAATATGTATGTCACTGAAGCAAACTATCGATAGTGGATTTTGGTGGGTTCATTGGTGCTTGGTCTTAATATGTCTTGATGTTTGAGCCAAATGGCAACCTTGGATTGGTGATCAGTGACCATTCGGCAGTTGAACTAGTTGTGTGCTCTCCAACCCGTTGTGGCATGGCATAGCAACTGATTGCTCGGGGACGGCGCTGTTCAGCAGCTTCACGGGTTGAGAACTTCCCGTCGTTGTGGCGTTTCCGTTGAATTGCTAGTCAGCTAGTCACAGCTGATGTAGATAATGGAGGAGGACCCGATTTTTGAGTTGACATTTTGCGCTCTCCATTATCCACCACTCTTGTTCCATGAGGTCAGTCTTGACATGGCTTGGCTTCAAGATTGGTCGATCCCTTTGACAATGGGTCCGGGATGCAGCCTCAATGGCCGGAAATTGTCTCCAGAGACCGGCCTGTTACACATGTTGAGATCGCCTGACATTTTCTGGAAAGAATTGGCCAGGTACCTCAACGTTGAATTATTTTTTAGAACCAGGTTGCCTAAGAATTCAATATTTAGATTTGATCCAATTCATATCCAAGATTGGTCATGTAAAGCATCCCAAATCCATCCAAAAACCAACTAGATTATTGTGAGTTATCCAAATGTTCTCGGTTCAATCCTTGAAAGTTTGCAGAAAATGCTGACAAGACATCTCTACTAAGGTTGGGCCCCCAAACCGATTTATAACTAGGACAACTATGTTGTATGGTAGATATATTATATATATATGTAAAGAATATTGCTTGTAAACCTTGACTGGTGGGACCCACCTTCCACTAACAAATGGTTATACAGCCATGTAGTTATAGTTGTTATATCCCAATTTATGGGAGGTGTCCTGGTGGTTATGTCAATTTGCTGGAAATGGGGCACCTCAAAAATACCGGTTCGTTATCATTCTCCCATTAAGAGGACAATTTTGGGGTATACACTCTTGTAAACTACCATAACCTGGTTGGTGGTTTGGAAATGTTTGGAACATTTTTTATTTTTCCATATATTGGGAATGTCATCATCCCAACTGACGAACTCATATTTTTCAGAGGGGTAGGTATACCACCAACCAGCAACTATTGAAAAACACTACCTCTTAATAGCTAAATCATCGACCTAAGTGGCCGATGGCTTCGGACTCAAACTGTTAGTTTACTGGAGGGTACCCCATTTTCAGACACACCTCTAGTGGTTATACCATGTCAGTTATAATGGTTGTACAGTGGTTATATGGTGATATATCAACGCCTGGGAGTTCTTACCATGATTGCACCCGCATTCACACAGGATATTACAGGATGGTTCCCCCCAGTTATAAGTTGATTTATAAGTTCATCTAAATATGTCATTATACTGGTTGGTGGTTTGGAACATTTTTTCCCTAAATAGTTGGGATGATGATCCAATCTGACTTTCACATTTTTCAGGGGGGTTGAAACCACCAATTAGTTATAATTAAGTATCATATACTCTTGTTCTAACACATTGATTTCTACCAACTTCGCAAACGAACCTGGGCCCCCATCCACTCTTCACCGCAGCCGGTGGTCTCCAGGTGAACTTCGACGAGGGTTTCAACGAGCGCACGGGAAAACCCAAGGCTGTGAACGTCACGGGCGGCACTGGCCCCGTAGGCGCACGGCGGCGTGGCGCCGGAGGAAGTAATTTTTTAAAGGGGAAAAAATGCAAAGAAGCGGACAATTAAGAAGCAAAATGGGGATTTACCAAAAAAAAATGATTTCAATTGATTTAATGAATCTGGGATTGTTGACCGAACAAAGACCGGGGATTGTTCCAAAGATGAGGAGTTCACCGAAAAATTGGGATCTAGCATGATCTCACCAATGGGGATCTATGGGAATCTAACCAGAAAATGGAGATGTCATGTGATGTCATTATCGAGTATGAAGGTTTAGGAATTCAACAGAAATGCGGATCAATAATATATGTATATATATATAACATCAAAGTAGAAAATCCGATTTAACTGAAGGGAATTCACAATCTCATTTTTGGAGAGTCAATCATGATACTGATCTAAGCCGCAAACAGTTACTGGGGTTACTGGGGTTACCTTCCCCATTTCAACCCATCTATAGATAACTGTAGATGAGCATTCGATTTTTTTGAACTTGAATGCCGATTCCCATGAACTGTTGTGTTTCAGAGAGAGATGCAATCCAAAACTTGGCAAACTGACTGGTGCATGACAGGTACAGGTCATTTTAAGCAATCACTGGAGGAATCTAAAGCCCAGCCATTGGAAGGTGCCGAGCCATCAAATTCAACCAACGGCCAGCTAACCTGACTGCATGGGTGTTTTATTCGTTGATCCCATCCAAATTACCCTCGGGTTATTTAACAGTTTACCATGGGAGCCATGGCCCATAGAAATAGATGGTTTACCGAACTTGAAAATGGTGGATCTTTCCATGGCGAACTGTTAGTCATAGCCAGAGGGTAATATATATATATATATATATATATTAAATAGCTATGAACATGGGCGATTTACACCGACCAGGACCATCTGACCAAGGTGCTCGTCTGACGCTCTCGAAGTCTCCCTGGGGATGGAAAAATTATCCCCAGGTCTTGGTCGTATTGGTACCCTCTGGTAAACATACAAAAAGCGATTGAACATAGCCATAGAAATAGTGGATTTTCCCATGAATAGCATGGTGATTTCCCATAGTTATGTTAGTTTACCAGAGGGTAATCAGTATTCTTGGGATCCCCAAATCAAGTTTCATCCACTGCTACTAGGTCGTTATTTCTACAATATTTCTAGCCCAATTTTTAGTAGTGGGGATGATTTGACCGATGGATCAATGGATCCCACTACAGTAACATACAAGGTGGTGCCCCCCCTCAGTTTTGAGTCGGTTATAAACCCATGAAAACTGTAGTATAATTATCACCAACAAAAACTTATTGGAGTTATTTGATGTTATTTGCACCAACTGAGCTATCGAACGGGGGCAGACATACGCCGCCAAAATCTCCGCCACAGGAAAGGGTGAAGGAGAAGGTGGAGGCTTGGGGGTCAATTTTGGGCGAAGGATTTTTCGGAAGATTGTAGCATGTAAAATAGAGAGGGTGGTCATGGAAACTATGTTTTGCTCAGGTGTTTCCAAATGCGATCATGTGTGTTTCTAGCGTTTGACTTCTCAAAGCTGCTAGCTCAAGCACCAGCTCTCGTTAAGGTCTCGACATTCTTTCTGGCAGCTAATTACGTAGCGAACTGGAAAATCACCATGATTGCTTGGTAAATCATCACAAATTATCTATAGATGGTTCGTTTTTAAGTAACCAGAGGTACCATTTTGATCAATTGCGTATCATTTTCTCCGATGTTGGTTGGTCCAAAATCCTTTGATTTCTCCCTGATTGAGAGGTTGAAACCCTGTGAGTACCCCTAGCTTCGTGTTGGTTGCACTCCCATTTGTTGCATGGTTAATATTCGCATCCCGATTGGTTAACAACCCCAATTTGGCTGCTCCACATCACCGTGTTCGTTATACACTCACATTTGGGTTCACATTTTTTTGGGTAACATTTCGATCAACCCAAAAATATACATATAAAAGTTCGAAACTTGGTCATCATGGCGTCTCAGTGTCACAAAAAAACATCCAACGTTTCATATGTGCAAAATACGATCTTTTAGGGAACCCCTAGAAATAGTTTCTATAATGATTGAAGAAAGTCATTACCCGATCTTGCTCTGCAAGGTGGAAAGGGCAAAGGTAAGCGTGGCGACAAGGGCAAAGGAGGCCACATCTTTGGGGCTAATATGGTAAACCCTGGTTGCCATAAAGAACTACCAGTTGGGGAATGATAGTTACCACCCACCCATCTAGAATCTATAGTGGTATTAATATTGGGTTTACCACAGTAACATGATGGTTCACATGATTTGAGTTTTTCAAATTGCTCGGATGGAACCCAAATAGTGATCATTTCCAATTCTGAGAGATCCGAGAGGTGAGAACTTCAGGGTGCCCTTGATGAGGTGGGTGATGTTCCATATTCGTGATGTTTCATGTCTATCTGGAATGATCCACCGATGGTCAAGAGTTTCGGAACGGCTTGAAGTCAGTAATCATACATAAGTCGGGTTTTGCAATCAACACTGGTTGGTGGTTTGGATTTTTTATTTTTTCCAGATATTGGGAAGAATCATCCCAACTGAATAATATTTTTCAGAGGGGTTGAAACCACCAACCAGAACAATTCGAAAAGGATCTTGCCACAAAAATAGGGAGCAACTTCGCTGAAAATCTCTGACCATGGGATGACTCAGATGGAATGGTGAGTTCCATGGTTGTTTGAAATCAGCCGACAATGTTACCCTCTGGTAAACTAACATAACTATGGAAAATCACAATGTTTCATGGAAAAATGAACTATATATAGCAATTTTCAATCCCTAGCCATCCCAAACACATGCTGAACATATGCTTCCCATGTCGTGCACATGCTGATTGATTCCGAAAAATGGGCCTGCCCAAAAACCATGCTCAGGGAAAAGTGGCTATTAATAGCTATGTTAAACTAGCAGAGGGTAAACCGCAACAACAAACCTGCTATGTTTCATCAACGAAATTATCGCAAAGAATTCCATTCGGAGTGCCACATCCTAAGGAAACTACAAACCATGGAGTGTTCAACATATCATAAACCATTTGACATGTTTAAACATTACGTAGTTCATGTTATATCCTACATATTCTGGTTGGTGGTTTGGAACATGTTTATGCATGTTTTATTTGTCCATTCAGTTGGGAATTTCATAATCCCAACTGACTTTCAGATTTTCAGAGGGGGTGGTATACCACAAACCAGTATTTCATGTTATATCCATCCAAGAATCGAAATTGATTACATGTTGATTTTATCCTACTTTCACTGGAGATTTAAATGTTATATCCTACTTGAACATTTACATGTTATATCCATCATGTTATATCTGTTGAAAATCTCCATGTCAACCATTGAAAGTTGATCTCCGAGAACAACCTCTCCGCATGTTTTTCCGCCAGGTCCTAAGCAACTGCCAGGCGCAGCCCTGGCACTGTGCAGAATCTGTAGCCCAAAACATAGCTGGTTAATGAATGTTAATGATCCCAAAATATCCCAAAATATGGTAAGAATTTAACATCGATCGGAAAATGGATGATACTCGGATATGATATAATCGGTTTTGACCCTATATTGGTTGATTTCATGGGATGTACATGGTATTTTCATAGGGATTCTTTGGAGTTGTCTAATTTGTTGTGGTGATATTGGGCTGCACATCAAGTCTTTTGCACCAACAAAGGCTATCATGGAAAACCAGCCACTGATCAAACCATTGGTGCGATCAAAGCCATGTTTCCCATGCTTTCCCACTACTACTCAGCCCTATACCCATCAACAATGGGTTAATATGGAGGTTTCCTGACCCCAAATCATCCAATTTGAGATTTTCCATGAAATAAACCATCCAGCTATTGGGGGATCCCCCATTTTATGGAAACCCCCCATATATCACTTACAAACCATTACAAAGCCATATATTGTGCTTTCTCATACTCATGGATGAGGGATTCCTTTTTACGATATAATTACTATCATTACTAAGCCTTATACAGGGCTTTAACAAGTGTACTATAATTCCTGTCATTACTAAATGATCTAAATGATATACTATCATTACTATCATTTCTATCAACAAAGGTTTTTAAAAAATGTTTCCCACTAAGCCACAGGCCTCGCCGGCCTGAATGGTGGCCTGGCCGTTGGGCCCCTGCCTGGCTCCCCCATGCCCTGTGGGCCCTGCGGACCTTGCGCAGGCGACGGGAAAAAACTTGGGAAAACCCGGCGAAACATGGGGGAAGTCCACGTAAAACGGGAAAAAACCCGGGAAAAATGGTGGTAAAATGGGGAAGACCTGGGAAAAATTATGGGTTTTGCCAGCAAAAAGCAAAGGTAAACCATCGAAAGTTGGGTCGAAACTAGGTTTGAGCATGGAAAATATGTCTAAAAGCATATCGTTCAAGTTCTGGCCTTTGCCCTCAACTATTGCCAGGTAGACTGTTGATAGGGGTCCCAAATAGAAAGAGAAGTGATCGCCCTTTGTTTCGAGGATGAGGAATGTGTCTATCTATTTTTGTGGGACCTGTTTGATGCATATATGATTATATGCATGTATAGAAAAAGAATGAAAAAGATACAGATAAAGATACAGATACAATTTTATCCGTACACATAAGCATGATGATTACAGATGTATATATATATATATATATACGCCCTTATATTGTGCCCACCCCTACGTGTATATACCTATCTATATATGGATAGACATATACATATTTGTATATATATATATATACATATATATATATATGTATACATGCATGGCACATATGTGCAATATACTTCCACATATGTATGTATGCATGAGATCAATACTTTCTTTATTGCATATGCATGAAAATACTCATAGATTAGCTTAGATTAGACTTAGATTGCTATAGTTTGCGATGTTTCACTCGTATACATCATAGATACAGTACATGTCTTGGTGCCCCCCAGTTATAAATGAGTTATAAGTTATAATCCCATGAAAACTGATATATCACCAACAAAAACCATAATTAACAATAGATATATCTACGTATAGTATCGTATAGTATATCACCTATATCTAAGTTGGTGCGTTTATAACTCCATCCTATTAACTATAGATACTGGTTGGAGGTTTCAAACATTTTTTATTTTCCATAATATATGGGATAATCCCAACCCCATTGACGTTCATATTTTCAAGATGGTTAAAGCCACCAACCAGTTATTGATCGATATAGAATACCATGGCCTTATATGGTACAGTACCTCTATTTTAGGATCCTGGAATGACCATTGATATATCCCATATATCATTAGCTAATTGGAGTTATAAACGCACGCACCGAGCGCTTCCGACCTGGAAAACCACCCGCCAGGTGGCTGCGGTTTGCCGGGTGCTGGACTGATGGTTCTGGCGTTGGTTGATGTCGTTACCTTGCAATGGTTTATAGCTAGCTAAAACGAAATGCTGGTAGTGGTTATAGCATTGTTATAGCTGTATAAATTCCATGTTAATGAGTTATATACCATTATATACCGTAACAAAATTCAATGGTTATCCATTCAAAATGCTGGCTGATTCATGACAGCTAAGTGTGTGCATTTTTTCCTTGCTGAACTCTTGGATTCATGGAGATATAACGAAGTAGTTCATTAATGTTTTTTTTGAAACCAACAAAACATCACTGGCTCCAGTTTGTAGAGGATCTAAGCATGTTTAACCAAGGATTCATTAGTGAGCTATTGGACCATTGATTATGAGTAAATGTGCTTAGTAAGTGGGCTTAGTGCACCCAAATGGGATGAGCACTTTTGAGCCATCGGATGATCCTCTGATAAGACTATCGCTGTGGATTGGTTAAAGGAGTTATACCCTCTGGTAAATTAACAGTTGGACCCTCAAAAGTTAGCATTTTTTTAATGGAACTAATCTTTCAATCCCTATCTGTCAGGGTTTAATTGTTTGGAGTTATACTAATTGGTTTATTGCGGATTATGAACTAACCCAGAAGAGAAATATTTACACATCAACCAGTATAATGAGTATAATGAGATGGGATATGGGCATTTCTCATGGCACAACTGGGGAAGGCTTGGATGAAAAGAAGTTCAACCATCAAAATTGGGGTTTTGGCCAACAGAATGTGGAGATTTAACAAAAACAATCTGGGCACAATCATTGGTGCTGGGTGGTTTCTCAACTTTAGTGTGTTGCTACAAATAGGAGCATATAACAACCAGCGGTTTCTTTTTTGTCAGGGTATCCAAGATTGGCAATGGTTAGAAAAAATGGTGCCCATAGTCATGGGTCGGATAGTTTTTAGAACAACATTGTCAGCCAGAAATTCTACTAGACAAACCAGAAGGGGAATCTAATGAACCAAAAGGTGATACCCCATCCATGACCAAACTGAATAGTTAGCCAACAAAAACTGGTTGGTGGTTTGGAACTTTTTCCCGAGAGCGTCTGAGCGCAGGGTTCTTCCAATAGTGGGGGTCTGTAAAACATCTTCTCATCTTCACATCTTCTCTCACATCTGCTCATCTTCACATCTTCTCTCACATCTTCTCTCACATCTTCTCTCACATCTGCTCATCTTCAAATCTTCTCTCACATCTGCTCATCTTCACATCTTCTCTCACATCTTCTCTCACATCTGCTCATCTTCAAATCTTCTCTCACATCTGCTCATCTTCACATCTTCTCTCACATCTTCTCTCACATCTGCTCATCTTCACATCTTCTCTCACATCTTCTCTCACATCTGCTCACCTTCATCTGCTGTTCTTCGCATCTTCTCTCACATCTGCTCATCTTCACATCTTCTCTCACATCTTCTCTCACATCTTCTCTCACATCTGCTCATCTTCACATCTGCTCATCTTCACATCTGTTCATCTTCACATCTGCTCATCTTCACATCTGCTCCTCTCTTCACATCTGCTCATCTTCACATCTTCTCTCACATCTTCTCTCACATCTGCTCATCTTCACATCTGCTCATCTTCACATCTTCTCTCACACCTGCTCATCTTCACATCTTCTCTCACATCTTCTCTCACATCTGCTCATCTTCACATCTGCTCATGTCCACATCTTCTCTCACATCTGCTCATCTTCACATCTGCTCATCTTCACATCTTCTCTCACATCTGCTCATCTTCACATCTTCTCTCACATCTTCTCTCACATCTGCTCATCTTCACATCTTCTCTCACATCTTCTCTCACATCTGCTCTTCTTCACATCTGCTCATCTTCACATCTTCTCTCCTTTCTCTCTCCCTTTTCTCTCTCTCGCCTTCTTTATCTTTCTCTCTTAAGGCCGAGGGTGGTGCCGGCGGCGAGTCACGAAACGTCAACCCTTTCGCACGAAATGAGGGTCGATCGTCAAAAACTGACGAAAAATTGCGATTTTACTTGTGCCGGAGCAACCCTTTCGCACGAAATGAGGGTCGATCGTCAAAAACTGAGGAAAAATTGCGATTTTACTTGCCCCCGAGCAACCCTTTCGCACGAAATGAGGGTCGATCGTCAAAAACTGAGGAAAAATTGCGATTTTACTTGTCCCGGAGCAACCCTTTCGCACGAAATGAGGGTCGATCGGCAAAAACTGAGGAAAAATTGCGATTTTACTTGTCCTAAGCAACCCTTTCGCACGAAATGAGGGTCGATCGTCAAAAACTGAGGAAAAATTGCGATTTTACTTGTCCTAAAGCAACCCTTTCGCACGAAATGAGGGTCGATCGGCAAAAACTGAGGAAAAATTGCGATTTTACTTGTCCTAAAGCAACCCTTTCGCACGAAATGAGGGTCGATCGGCAAAAACTTAGGAAAAATTGCGATTTTACTTGTGCCGGAGCAACCCTTTTGCACGAAATGAGGGTCGATCGGCAAAAACTGAGGTAAATTTGCGATTTTACTTGCGCCGGACTTGTCTGTGTGTAAAAGCGTCTGTGTGTAAGAGTCTCTGTGTGTAAAAGTGTTTGTGTGTAAAAGTGTTTGTGTGTAAAAGTGTTAGTGTGTAAAAGCTTCTGTGTGTAAAAGCTTCTGTGTGTAAAAGCGTCTGTGTGTAAAAGACTGTGTGCACAAGCGTCTGTGTGTAAAAGCGTTTGTGTGTCAAAGCGTCTGTGTGTAAAAGCGTCTGTGTGTAAAAGCGTCTGTGTGTAAAAGCGTTTGTGTGTAAAAGTGTTTGTGTGTAAAAGCCTCTGTGTGTAAACGTGTGTGTGTGTGTAAACGTGTCTGTGTGTAAAAAAGCGTCTGTGTGTAAACACGTCTGTGTGCAAGAGTGTTAGTTTGTAAAAGCGTCTGTGTGTAAAAGCGTCTGTGTGTAAAAGTGTTTGTGTGTCAAAGCGTCTGTGTGTAAAAGCATCTGTGTGTAAAAGCGTCTGTGTGTAAAAGCGTCTGTGTGTAAAAGCGCCTGTGTGTAAAAGCGTCTGTGTGTCAAAGCGTCTGTGTGCAAAAGCGTGTGTGTGTAAAAGCCTCTGTGTGTAAAAGCGTTTGTGTGTAAAAGCGTCTGTGTGTAAAAGCGTCTGTGTGTAAAAGCGTCTGTGTGTAAAAGCGTCTGTGTGTAAAAGCGTCTGTGTGTAAAAGCGTCTGTGTGTCAAAGCGTCTGTGTGTAAAAGCGTCTGTGTGTAAAAGCCTCTGTGTGTAAAAGCCCCTGTGTGTCAAAGCGTCTGTGTGTAAAAGCATCTGTGTGTCAAAGCGTCTGTGCGTAAAAGCATCTGTGTGTAAAAGCGTCTGTGTGTAAAAGCGTCTGTGTGTAAAAGTGTTTGTGTGTAAAAGTGTTTGTGTGTAAAAGTGTTTTTGTGTAAAAGCGTCTGTGTGCAAAAGCGTCTGTGTGCAAAAGCTTGTGTGTGTAAAAGCCTCTGTGTGTAAAAGCGTCTGTGTGTAAAAGCGTCTGTGTGTAAAAGCGTCTGTGTGTAAAAGCGTCTGTGTGTAAAAGCCTCTGTGTGTAAACGGGTCTGTGTGTCAAAGCGTCTGTGTGTAAAAGCGTCTGTGTGTAAAAGCGTCCGTGTGTAAAAGCGCTTGTGTGTAAAAGCGTTTGTGTGTAAAAGTCTCTGTGTGTAAAAGCGTCTGTGTGTAAAAGAGCCTGTGTGTAAAAAGCATCTGTGTGTCAAAGCGTCTGTGCGTAAAAGCGTCTGTGTGTAAAAGCGTCTGTGTGTAAAAGCGTCTGTGTGTAAAAGCTTCTGTGTGTAAAAGCGTGTGTGTATGTAAAAGTCTCTGTGTGTAAAAGTGTTTGGGTGTAAAAGTCTCTGTATGCAAAATCGTCTGTGTGTAAAAGCGTCTGTGTGTAAAAGTCTCTGTGTGCAAAAGCGTCTGTCTGTAAAAAGTTCTGTGTATGAAAAACTTTACAAAAATACGATGCAAACTATTGTCTTGTACTAGTCATATATTGTCTTGATACTACTCTTCTCGTCTGCCTATAATACATCTTTATCATATTATCTTGTAATATAGTGTCTCCATACTAACAACAGAAGACTCTGCTCCTCTACGCTCTCGGGCCATCCGTCGTCTAGTTTTCCCATATATTGGGAATTTCATCATCCCAACTGACGAACTCATATTTTTCAGAGGGGTAGGTCAACCAACAACCAGAAAAGGATCTTTCCTCCATTCTTGGACGGATGTCTGATCCGCACAGTTTGATTTACCCTCCGGTAAACTAACAGTTTGCTGTTGAAAATGGCCATAGAAATAGTAGATTTACCCATTAATAGCATGGTGATTTTCTATAGTTATGTGAACGTTTATCAGAGGGTATAGCTTCGGCCTGGGGATTGCCATTTATATCCCACCAAAAGTTGTATCGCACCAATCCCCGCGACATCATGGAGTATGTCATGGAATATGTCCGTCCCTGTTATTGGCCAAAAGTCTAGGGCCAATATGCCAATGTCACAGCTGGGGATATACATCTTCGCGTTCCCAAACTTGGATGGCTAGTTTAAATGCAAAATAACCATAACCAGCAAAAGACTTGTTGATTGTGGATTAATTACCAAAGATTGACCACGTTCATACATATGCATCAAAACCTATCTATCTGCCTTGAGGTATTTTTGGAATATCAGCAGGTGCATATCAAACGAATGAAAATTCCGTTGAAACCTGTGATTGCAATGTTGAAATACCCTCTGGATCCCTCTGGTAATTTAACAATGTGCTATTGAAAATGGCCATAGTTATAGTGATTTTCCATCGTTTTTTGTTAACGTTTACCAGGCCGGGTAGATGAGTTTCCAAGCGCCTTAACGATGCCTGGAACATCCTGGAACCTGAAAGAATCGTTTTACTAAACAAATCTGGGATTCATCCTATTCATATTAACCATTCATAACCTATGAATAGTGCTTCTTAATGGTTATTAATGGTTAATAAAAAGTATTCCTGGCTGGTGGTTTGGAACCATGGAATTTTGAATGATTTTCCAGAAACAGGGAAATGGAATAATCATCCCAACTGACGAGCTTATATTTTTCAGAGAAGTAGGTATACCACCAACCAGGTTTTGCTAAAAGTGACGGTTTAAAGATTAGTGAAATTGTATCGAACATTGTACACACCGTCTCGAAATAGCGGGCCTTCAAAGACGTAGTGTGTCCTGTTGTTTGAACAATGGGGTTTTCTCGAACATCCACTTGTTTCTGAGCAAACTTTTCTTTTATATTTGATTGTCTTGGACTCTTGGACTGGTGTGATTTGAATAATTATGTTCGAAGTGGTTTTGGCGATAAGTGGGAGAGTTCATTGGATATCGAAAGTTACATATAGTTTATCAAAGTTTATCATTCCACACTATCTAAGCTGATAGCTTCTACAGGTGGCTTGAGAATCTGGTTTCGATGAGTGAAGTGACCTCATCAGATCTGTTGCTACCGATAGAGAGCTAGGTGGCCGATGGGCTAGAAATAGTCCCTGGAGCTTGGTTATTTCAAGATGGCTCAAGTGGTGATGTGCAATCAGACATGATTCTACAAACTGGGGCGGAGATCAACAGATTGGATGTTTCTATCTCAGCCGTCAGCAAGATGGTGTTTCATTGAGCATACAGAATTGTGAAGGAACTGGCAACGCCGAATGACGATGAAACATTGATTTGAACCGGGAAGGTCTTATCGAGTATAGATACAAAAGTGTTTGAACCAAGCGGGGGGCTTTCCAGCAAGATCTTGAGCGGTGAGGTTATTTCATCCGGATTGGGGGTAATCCTCTTGACACCAAGCTGAACAAGAAAAATATTGAAAGGTTGCTTATGTGCGATTTATCCAATATTCCTCTTCAAACTTTGCACAAAATCGCATCAGCAGATGATTTTCCTTTGGCTGAAACTTTGAAGCAAATGTGCCAATTGACCAGATTGGTAAAGCGTTTGATCAAACAAGACGTTAGTGACTGTTTGGTCAAGGGAATCAAAAATCTGGAGAACTGCCGATCTGTTGGTGATTGCAGCCATTGTCTCATGACCAGGCTGTAGTCTCCCAGTTTATGCAGGGTGTTTTCCCTTCCAAGAATGTTTTTCCCTGCTTTGATTTGTGACATTCGCAGTTATCATGCCCATGTTATCTTCCTATGGTTTTCCTTTCTGTTCCATTTACTTCCTATCATTTCCTTACTTGCCTTTAATTTGACAAGTAATTATGTACTCATTATTTCCCAATTAGTTCCCTACTGTTTCCCTGCTATTTATATACTCGTCTACTGGTCAGCCGCAACTTCCCACTGGTGCATCTCAGCTTTTGCATCCTCTTCATCGTCAAATTAGTCAAATCCAATGCTTGTCGTGTTCAAATCGCAATCTTGGGCTTAAACTCCATTAAAACCCAAATTCTCAAGAGTTGAAGCTCATTATTGTTGCTTTTATACCCAATACATATATATATATATAATTATTTATATATATATATACACACACACCATTAAATTGTTCCCATTCCTTTCAAGGAAAAAAACCTGCCCCTTCCGCAGGAAAGCCTATGGCCATGCCCGGCTCCGGCGGGGCGAAGACGGGCTTGGTGAAGCCGCTTGGTGGCGGATCACGTTCCAATTTCCAGCAATGGGAAGATCATGGGGGTATTAGGAAAAGAACATTGGTTTAGTATGGGGTAATGATGGTTAATGATGGTTAATGATGGTTAATAATGGTTAATAATTGTTAATAATGGTTAATAATGGTTAATAATCTCTGGTTGGTGGTTTGGAACCATGGAATTTGATGTTCCCCTTCCTAGTTGGGATGATGATCCAATCTGACTAATAAATATTTTTCAGGGCGGTGGCTCAACCACTAATTTGTTTGAATTGGAGGTTGAAGATTGGATAATCTCCATCAAACAATTGGATTTCATGATATTTAATGGGATGTTTTTTCAGGGATATTAACCTCCATGTTTTTTCGCGTAGCCAGGGAACATGGCCCATTTAAAGTTCAATAGTTTAGTTGTGTTTAGTTATTGAAACCGGTGATGTTTATAGTTATGTTGAATTACAAGAGGGTAATAGGCTACCAGAGGCTGATGGGAATACATATAGTCAAGTTGTTCCATCCTGTTATAGGTGATAGGTGCATGATAGCGACAAGGCTCATAAATTTACCAAACTTGACCTCTTAGTTTACCCCACAGGACTTTCGTCAAGTCTAATATAAGCCAGTTATAAGTTGGGGACCCCTGCAACAAGTTGGGATTATTTTGGGCCCCGGTGAATGATCTCCATAACTGAAACATCCTGGAGATGGGGTCCCGTTTTTCTCTGGGATTGATGGATCACCCAATTTACCAATGGTCATCCGGGTTCCAGGTATATGTAGTATGTACATTCAACGTTGTCTAAAAATACGGTGGGGCTAGCGCATGCCCTATTGTCGATTCGATTCGGAATAGCTTATGTGATACAATGGGGTATAATATGTATAATGGGATCTACGTCAGTACATGGGTATACACAGTGCAGTGGTCAATGCTGGGCAAGACTTAGGACTACCCCGGTACCAGATTTTCTCCCTTGGGGATCACCGGACAAATATGGTGAAGAATGTGCAGGATGGGGCCCCCAAGATAGCGTTCAGTTGCCTTATAAGTGGCTGAATTCTATGGTTTATGGTAGATATAACTATAGTTAATGGGGATTATAAGGGTGTATAAACAAACTTATAACTGCGGGGCCCCATCCTGTGGGAATATTGGGGGGATAGATACCTTCAAACAATCTGGATTTATTTGCCATAGACTTAGATGATGTTTGATCATGTTTTATGATGAGGGAAATGGGAATATATGCTTTGAAGCATTCTGGCTATAATCCCATGCCATCTCAGAGAAGTCTCAGAGCTACGATATGTTCTGATCAACCTTGCTTTGATTATGTATTCAGCCACACTTTGATGTTTATCCTTTTTGGGATTAAATAGGTAAACACCATGTTTCACTACAGGTTAAACTGTTGGAAGGGGATCCACAAATCATCCAGTAGCAACTGGGATGATAAGCCCAAAGTTGGTAATTTGACGTATTTCACGTAGGGACATTGACGAACCCTCAACTTGTTTGCTGAAAACATTGAAAACGCTATCCAGTAAGAAGTGAAAGTATATTGCTATAGTTGGAGGGGTTGTACCCCAACTTCTGGTGGTTACCATAGTTGTAAGCATTTTGTTCAGCCCCCAAGCCTGCACCCGAAAGTAGCTTCTGCATCTCATAAAATCCCATTAGATCAACATGTTTAGATTCAACCATATGGTTTAATCAGTTTAATCATCCCATTTTTCTTCCCAGGTCCAGGGTTTTTGCGCAGGTTCTTTAACGATGAGAAGGGCTTCGGTTTCATCAAGCAAGATGATGGTGGCACCGATTTGTTTGTCCATCGACGCTTAGACCGAAAACGTATTCGTGGCACGGCGTAGATCTTTTACGCCCTCAAGAAGTGTTTCTCCCAATGGGGATTTAATGATGATTTAATGGTGCTTTAAATGATTCAGTGGGATTTAATGGTGGTTTACTGGGATTTACTGGTGATTTATTGGGATTTGATTTAATGCTGATTTAGTTGTGATATGTTGTGATTTAATGGGATTTAAGGGGATATTATAAATGGGCTGACGCCCTGGTGCCGCCGACCCCCCGAAAAGATGTTTGACAAGGCTTGGCAGGTAGGGTGGTGTAGAAGAAAGCGGGAAACAACAGGGGACTCTTCGAAGGCTTGAGGTAGTGTGGTCAGGCGCGGCCTGTAAAACCAATGGCGGCAAGTTACAGCGCAAGACCCTTGCAAGGTCGGGCAGGCAGGGTGCTTCGGAACCAAAGGTAACAAACGGCTGTTCCGACACTGTTAGGAAGTCGGGTAGGGTCGTGTAGAAGCAAGGGTAGCAGTTGGTAGTGTGGAACCCGTGAAGAGGGCATGGAGACGGCGGAGCAGGTAGGGTGGGACGCTTAGTTTTAAAAGGGACGTGTATAGAAGGGTGGGCAGGTGCGGCCGTGAGAGACTGGCAGGTGTGGGCAGTTGCGAAGAGGCGCGCAGGTGCAATGAAGAGCGGCGAAAACGTGAAAAGAGGGGTTGCAGGGATTGGGAGGGGGGGGCCTTGCAGAACCAAAGGGGCCAGAGAGGAGGTGGGAGATGTGAAAAGAAACAGCCGCAGGCTGGGCAAGTGGGTCTGTTGTATTTTGCAGGTGGCAGGCAGGTGCGAAACAGGCGGGAAGGTTGGATACGGTGGCGGGCAGGTGGTGGGAGTGGAAGGCGTCCGGGGATCGGAGGCGCTACGCCGCTACGCCGTCCAGGCGAGGGCTTGGCAGGGGGCGGCGGATACATACATATAGAACCGATAGATAGATACGTAGAGAGATAGATAGATATAGTTTTTTTTAAAAAAACATCTTTCATATATATATATATATATGTACATAGCTGGAACAATCGAGGCAGCAATAATTATGTATGTTGTGTGATAACTTAACTTTTGGGGGTGTGACCCTGAATCCTGGCCAGCAAACGTGCAGACCAAAAAGTTTTTTGGTCAATGCCTTGTTTGGTGCTGTCTCCCATTTTCAGACACACCCAAATATCAGATCAAGTTTGTTTTGCAATGTTGTATATCCCATTCAGTTAATTATATGCATCCATTATATTGTGTATATCCACCAAAAAATCCAAGTACCTTCTTCGGAAGAAACTTATCAGGAGCATGGTCCGGTTGCTGTCAAATAAACGCCGATATAGAGACATAAATGAATTTATATGCTATATATTGATATATGCCAGCTTTGCAAGCTAGGCAGATTGAGCATTCATCGTCGAGAGTTCATTCTCAGAAACATCCTTCACCGCTACACTCCCCTGGACGAAGACGGCTTTCCTGAGGAAACGTCAACTTCGTCCTGGTGAGTTCTTGACACCTGTGGTTCTTTACGAGCTCATTTGGAGGAAGAGGCATCAGGAACTGAGAGGGACGGGCAGGGAGTCTGGCAGGAGGATCTCGCACTCCTCTTCCTGCTCCAGCTATACTGGCTGGAGCCATGCGTCGAGCTGCCTGACGTCGCTGCCTTGTACAGACTTCCCTATGCGCCCTTGCGAGGAAAGCATTAATTAAGGGGAATGAGGTTACTGGTTTTTTTGGCAGATACATTTTGAGCGCGAGGTCGTTGCGAGAGCTTTCTGGGGGCGCCTGCGCCCAGTCCAGGCCCAGGCTGTATTCATTCGCGCGGCGCACGCAGCCTCATTCTGTTTTTTTTTTCAGGATCAGGGACCGCCTCCGGTGCCACCGCCAGCTCCGGCTGGTCGGTGGGCCGATGACCCGGAGATGCTTGAGGAATCGGCATGGATCCTGTTTCCTGTTTCCTGTTTCCTTCTCACTGTTGGCTCAGGATCCCTGGACATTGGGGGCACCACAAGATCACGTGTGTTGCTCAGAATGTATCGTGGCTAATTAACAATGACCGGACATACAAACATTTCAGGCAGTTCGAAAAACATCGATTATTGATTCAAATGTGATTTCAAAGCAACATGGTTCTGAGTTTTGTACTGTGTTGAAGTGCAGCTGTTTATTCAAAGGAATGCTAAATTCTTTTCGACGGAGCAATGTGTGAAGAGTATAACGATGTTGTACGTTTTTTGATGGAAGAGTGTATTGTACGCATATTGCTCCCAGTTGACTTATGTTGATTCCTTGAAATGGAATGGATAGGCCCACTGTATACGCTGCATGATTTCTTAGACAAACACATGCATTTGTTTAAAGGAATTGTCTGCTGTAGAATTGGTGGTGCACTTTGCTGAAGTAATTATTTTCCCTCATTATTTATAGACATGAATTGGTGCCTGTTGAAAGTGCACATTTTAAAATTGTTACTTATCTTTCAAAACAATGCCACACTTTTTGCAAAGGGTTGTTGCATACATTGAGGAATGGTGTTCTTTATGCAAAGTCATTTTACAAGTGTTGTTTGCAAACCTATTTTCCCTTCATTATTTATAGAGAACATATTGCATGGATTGGTGCCTGTTTCGACTGCACATTTCCTAAAATAACGATTGCATAATATGTTGAGGGAAACCCCTGTAGAGATGTCGTTTGTACATTCTTGAAGCAATGCTGCACTCTTTGCAAAGGCCTTTTGCGCTTGTTTGTTGTTGTGTTTTTAAAGCTACTGGGTCAAAGTGGTAACTTATGCCGCGGTCATCTTCTTGTGCCGCAAACGGTGTGCCGTTGGGAAGTCTATGATATACATGTCATTCTTGCTGGATGAATCAATTGTTTGTGGCATTTATTTTTCTAACACTTTACAGGGTGCCTGCTGGCTGCAGGATGAAGCATGCCAAGGGAATGTTTAAGCGATGGCATTTCATGGCTGGTTTCAGGGCTGGCAAACGGCGGGCAAGGGTTTTAAGCATTTTGAGGGTTTTTAAGCCTTTTAAGCGTTTTAAGGGTTTAAGGGCTGGCAAACGGCAGGCTTGGACGCCCATAAGAAGCCATTGATGTGTGGCCTTGGGGTGCCTGCTGGCTGCAGGATGAAGCATGCCAGGGGAATGTTTAAGCGACGGCGTTTCAGGGTGGTTTCAGGGCTGGCAAACGGCAGGCTTGGACGCCCATTGAGGGTTTTAAGCATTTTGAGGGTTTTCAAGCGTTTTAAGCCTTTTAAGCGTTTTAAGGGTTTAAGGGCTGGCAAACTGCAGGCTTGGACGCCCATAAGAAGCCATTGAGGTGTGGCCTTGGGGTGCCTGCTGGCTGCAGGATGAAGCATGCCAGGGGAATGTTTAAGCGATGGCGTTTAAGGGCTGGCAAACGGCAGGCTTGGACGCCCATTAAGGGTTTTAAGGGTTTTAAGGGTTTTGAGCGTTTTTAAGCTTTGTAAGCGTTTTAAAGGTGCCCAAAGCATGTAATTTTCATGTCCAAATGCCTGGAAGGCTTAACTGAAGGATGAAGCATGCCAGGAGAATGTTTACGCGATGTGGCCTTGGGGCAGCGCTGGTGGCTGCGAGATGGGTTTGACCTTGGGGAAGCTAAGAAGGAGAAGTTCCACACCTGCGGTGGTCCCAGGCGCCGCCCCTGCCTTGGCCAAGGCTGGGGTCGGCGGATAATGGTGATAACGTGGGATTTCATGGGATATAGGGATGTAATGGGATATAACCTACTTGGGAGAAACGAGGTTAAACTGGGGGAGTTCCAGCAATTTGGTGGTGTTTTGTTACTGGAATTTCATAAGATATACTGGAGATGTCTGATGGGATATGTGTTACTTGGGGCTGCAGTTTTATTGTTAGAGATGGCTTTGTTCCTATGGTAAGTATTCACATGTATTCACCTCCCTAGTTGGAAGATCCCAGTACCATCTGGTTATTTAACATAGCCATGGAAAATCCCTTATAAATGGAGTTTTTTTGGGGAAAATCATCTATAAATGGTCCATTTTCCATGGCTATGTTAAATAACCAAATGGTAAAAACCATGGATTTCTGGTTGGTGGAAACTCACGGTCACCGAGATTTCCATTCAGACACTGGGACGGTAACAGAGACATCAGGCAAAGGATGATGGCATGATTAATGGTGATTTAATCATGGTGATAACAGTGAAACATGAGACATTAGGCAAATGACGGTAACAGAGATTTCCATTCAGACACGGCAAAGGATGATTGTCGGCTTCAGAGTTAGAACCGTGGATTAATGGTGATTAGTGATATTAAATGATATTAATGACTCTTGATCATGGTGATTAATGAATGGTGATTAGGATACGACTAACAGGTGAGCTTGGATCCATTCTTTTCACATCTACATCATTCCTTGGTCGACCTTGGGTCGTTTAGTACTTGAATCTATCGTCGTATAAGTGGACAATTACCATCTGGCAAAAACAACATGTTTCAGCGGATTCGCAAGATTTACATAGATTTACCATCATTCCAAGAGAGCAGCAGAAGGTGTTTTTCCCCCCAGCCTTTTCGGTGTTGTTTCCCCAGCCGTGTGTTTCTTCTCCAAATCATTCGAAAAAAGTCAACCCCGGATTTCATGAAGTCCGCTGCTTACAAAAAAAGGGGGTACCATCTAAGTATGAGATTATCACTGGGGGAATACCCCTCTAATAAACCAGGGTTTATTCATCCAGGGTTGACATTACCCTCTGGTAAACGAACATAGCTGCTGTGGAAAATCACCATTTGTAGTGGGAAAATCAATTATAAATGGCAATTTTGAATAGCTATGTTAATTACCAGAGGGTAGTTTACCATATCTTCCCATGATTCACCATTGTTAAGCCATTAAATCACATTTATAGTGGTTAAATCACCATTCTCCTATGGTTTTCCTATGCTTTACCACCATTTTCCTATGGTTATCACCATGTTCACCATATGTTCCCATTGACCAAATATAGGTGCTTCGGGGCTCCCCCTGAAACAACCTCCCAGCGCGCCGAGGAAATGACGTGATCGACCAATTGTTGAAGGAAGGCGATCGTGTCTCGCGCCTCGCTCGTTAAACGTCCAGAGATGTCGAAAGGGAACATCCGATGCTGGTGGTTAAACCCTATAGCTGGTTGGTGGTTTGGAACATGAACATGGCTTTTATTTTCCATGATATATGGGATAATATGGATAATCCTTCCAATTGACGGGTTGAAACCACCAACCAGATAGTGAAGGTGAAAATCTGAAAAATTTGGCAATGGATCAACAATGGTCAATAATGGGTATTTACTGGGACTGATGATGAGAATAATGGTTAATAACCCTACTTATGGTGGCTCATCCCACGAATCCGATTCGTAGGTTAGTTCACCCGCTCGCTGCCCGCTCGTTATTTCAGTGGATTCACCCCACTTATCCCACTGAAAAAAACAGGGTTATAACTTAGTAAGTGGGATGAAGCACCAAGTAGTCAAGGTGATCTGAAAAATATAGATATTCCAGTTGGCAATGGGTAAACAATGGGTCAATAATTGGATCAATAATGGTCATTATTTACCGTTATCATCAATAGATGTTTATATACCTATTGTACCTATTATATGGAACTATGATGAGAATGGTTAATAATGGTGAATAGTGGGTGAAAATTGGATATGTAATATATCTGGGTAAATTTAGTCGCGACCTCACTGCGACCTCAGCCGTAGTTAGTAAGAGGAAATTTCTCCAAATGGCCATAATTCAGGTTAGTGAAATATTATAACATACCCGGGTATATGTTAATATTTTATATCACCGGTAATATCCAATATAGGTTATATTATCCATGGTTAATACTGGCGGATATTACTGGAAGGTAAATCCCATTGGGTTAATGTTAATAATGGGTGAATATTGGATATGTTTTATTCACCATGATTAACCATTATCACCATTAATCCCAATATATAAATCTCCCAAATTATAGGTTAATATTCTTCAATCAATGGCCATTTCAGGAACATAAATTGAAGGTACCTACCATATATATAAGGCCTGTATGAGACATGTAAGGGAATATCCCCACAAAATATAGCCTGAAATATGGTACTAACGTACCTCCATTTTAGGATCCTGAAATCACCACTGAACTTGGCAATAAAAGATCCTAAAATGGTTAGATTACCTTTCCCATTGGGTTAATGTTAATATTCTTCAATGAGATTTGCCTTCCAGTAATCAAACATGGGAAATCCGGGAAGCCATGGAGGTTTCTTCCGGGAGATGTTCCAGTGATCGAACACCGGGCGCTTTCGCATTTTTTTTGGCCAAAAAACATCGGGTGAAAACTACAGGAAAACCATAGGAAAATATGGGTGAATCACCCAGATATACCCATTTATATATCTGATTGGTGGTTTCAAACATGGCTTTTATTTTCCATAATATATGAGATAATCCTTCCCATTGACGAAGTCATATTTTTCAAGATGGTTAAAACCGCCAACCACATATATATATATATCTCATTATATATATATTTACTCAGAATATAACAGTGAATCGTGGGAAATAAATAAATAAATAAATAAATAAATAAATAAATATATAACTACTATTATCCCATTTCTTTCTATGGTTCAATAATATGTAGGTCAATCGACTGGATGGGTAGAAACTAGTCCTAACTAGCCTTGCTAGGTATCAATGGCACCATCTACGTTCACCAGCTAAGAATTGTTCTTTGTTTGCAGGGCATCTGGCTGATTGGCCATGAAATGGTGATTTAACGATGATTTTTTATGGTCTTACAATGGGTTAACAATGGTGAAGAATGGGATGATGCCTACTTTTATATACCCAGATAATGTATATACTTGATTTCCTAGAAGGCTAAAGAGTTAGAGGCTGGGAACATGATGGTGATTGATGAACAAGTAGCATCGTGACTTCTAGCTTGCGCTCATGGTGGGCTCCGAGGTTGAGCTAAAGCGCGTCGCCGGTGTCGGCCTCGTAGACAAGGAGATGTACTCCATGTGCCACATCGTTCGAATGTCTGGCTACGAGACACCGTGGGCTGATCTCAAAGACTCCGACCTCACTGCAGGGGAGATCGAAGCATGCAGGAATGCAAGGAGCCAGACATCGGTCACAACCGCCATCAGTGAGGCTCTCCAGGATAGAGGGGTGCTCATGAAAAATGCGGGCTTGCCAAGCCTCAGCAACGTCCTCACAAGGAACAACTTTGACAAAGCAATCAGGCACCGCGGGCGGATGCAGGCCCTGCCCACTGAGCGCTGGTGGCTAGATACTGTCAGGCAACAACGCATGACATCACATGTAGCAGCGGTGCCAGTCGCGAGGTACTGACTTCTTTTGTTCAACATGGCCAGTTTGTCTTGCGAGTTACGAATGATGTGTTTCCAGTTTGAGATACTTACTTGGGATGATTGAAGGATGGCAGGAACAATTCCCATTGAGTTTGGCCCAGCAAAGAGAGGTTTGTGGTTTTGCATGTGACATTTGATGTTTTCCAAAGAACATGCTGGTTCAAGACATCTCGGAACCCATCAGGGCATGGCCAAAGTGTTTGGACCCCTCCATTTCAGAAGTGACCTGGTCATCACATCTTCCACGCTGAAAGTACCCATATACAACTAAAACTGGCCAAAACTACGAATTACTAGACGTAGCATTAGCACTTTTCGATAATGTTGGATCATCTTAGCATGTTTTTTCTGTGTCAATTTGACTTTGATCATCATAGATCTATATTTTCCTCCAATGATCACGGTGAGGTCATGGAACTTTGTCGCAGGGACACTGAGGGCAGTCATGCCAAGAAATAGCTCCATATCTTAACCATTATCATATATTAATCCAACGTTATAGATCATGATTGACAATTATTATCAACTAACCATGAACTATAATCTATAATTGTTGATAATAGTTGTACTAGTTATCAACCGTGGCTAGTTATGATTGTCTGGTTGGTGGTTTCAATCATTTTTGATGTTCTATTTCTTATATGGGATGTCATCCTTCCCATTGACACACTCATATTTTCAAGATGGGTTTTGCACCACCAACCAGATTATCATCTATCATGCCATTATTTACCAACATTTCCCCTCTGGTAAGCTAACATAACTATGGAAAATCACCATGCTAGTAATGGGTAAGTGAACTATTTCAATGGCCATTTTCAATAGCTATGTTAAATTACCACAGGGTTTACCATATCATCCCATTATTCACCATTGTTAAGCCATTAAATTACCATTAAACCATATGTTCCCATTCACCATATATACCTGGCTGTACTGAGTTCTTCGCCCCATCTTCTTTCCGAGGTACAGCGAGGCGGTGGATTCCCGCACGGGCCGCATGAAGGCGCATCAGGTCTCTGGTGGCACTGGCGGTGCCAAGCCGCCCGAGAAGGGCAAAGGCGAGGCTCACGCCACGGTGTTTCTGGGGAGGGCGGGTTTTAATGGGTTCAATGGCTGGGTTCTAAATGGTTAAAAGTGGTTAATAGTTGTTAATAGTGGTTCAGAACTATAGTGATTCATAATGGTTAATGATTAAATAGTTAATAGTTGTTAAGAATACTCTTTTTTTATAGGGTGATGAATCGAAAAAGATGGGACTAATGTTGATATTCAGAAATATCATAGGAAGTGGAGAATATCATGAGATATAGTGGAGTATTAATGGTATATTGATTAATACCACATGGTAGGAGAACAATGGTTACAACATGTTATAACTGATGGCAATGGTTAATCATGGTCTATAACAATGATAATCATAATGGTTGAATAGATTTGAATAGGCAACAGATCTCGTATCAATGGTGGGAGAAAAAAGGGTTCAGAATGGTTAATATTGGATTGATAGTGGCTTAATCTTGGTTGATGTTGGATATATGGGATATATAAGGGGATTAATCCTTAGGTTTCACATAAAGACACTTTTTATAGTTTATTTTCCCTGTCAATCCCTCATTCATAGGGCACTTTCCATTCGAAGATAATGGATTGATGGGATACATGATGGGATACAAGCAGGATCATACGGGAACATAATTTGGGAAAACCTGGGTTTGTTTCGTCGGTGATTTTTGTTGCATTTTCCCAGTGGGCAAAATCCACCATGACAGGGGAATCGATGAAGGGAAAATGGTGAGGCCGCAATCAATTTGATGGCTCAACCAGTCGAGTTGTTGGATTTCAAAACTATCCAGATGGCGGTTGCTTAAAATCGGGGATCCCAAAGTCACCATGGGTATCAATCCCAAAATGGTCGAATATTGGATGACTTGGGGGTACTGGTACCTCCTTTTTTTTTTGGTAACTGGTGATATTCGATCAATAACTGGGTTATTATCATATGTTTGCTATCCATTATACAAATGGATATAACTCGTGTAATAACCACATATAACCACCATAGGTGGTGTTTTTGTTGCCCTTGTACCTAGGGTTATATACCTATGTATAATCTCAACTGCACCCCCAAGAATCCAATTCCAGATGGCAAATAGGTTGTGGAGCGAACAGTGGGTTGGTAAGCCGCGTCACAACAAATTTCAACTGTGTTTCCCAACCATAAGAGAAATTAGATATATGGCTCCCAAAAAAATAGAAGAGGCTGTAGATGATATCTATACCATTTATACCTGACATCTTACAAGTTTCCAATTTTTCTATCTTCACCAAATTGGTTGGAGTAAACAATTGCAGTAAATGATTCCATCAACCAATCCATTGATTGTTGGTTGTATTCCCCGCAGCATTGCCCATTGCCTATATAAATCCCAGTTTATCCACTTACATTCCCATCATATGTTCATGATATAATTCCGTTATTGTTCCGTTAGCCCATTATATCTAGTCCCACAATATACACATATATATATATATATTTGTAAGCGCTTCTGACATTTGTTAGAAACACACGGTCGCGATACGCGCACCAAAAATCAATGAAATCAATCGCAAATGCCTACAAACACCATCAAGAGGCCATTTGGCCAGAATTACCTCCTGAAGGCGACTTTCGCTACACTTTGTGTACTACGAATCAAGCCACGGACGGGAAGAAAGAACGTTGGAGCAAGACCGAAAGCCATCCAAACCAACTCCTAATGTCTTGCATTGGGTGGAAATAAGCATCCGGCATGGTGATATCCTCCATCTCAAAATTGAGATAGGAGAGGCTCAGACATTGATCCGATGACGGAACAGTGTCATTCTCATCGGTGGGAACCTGATCACGCCACACGGTACCAGTTAGGTTAGATCGTCATCTGAGATGAGTCGTGGGACGAATTCAAGCACGTCCTTAATCTCCCGTTGATATTTATCAGCGGTTGAACATGGCTCACTCATTGTCGATTCGATCACTTCTGGACCGACCCCAGCGGCGTCAACAAGTGTCATCACCGGATGAGACACGTACGTGTAACACGAACCACCATCAGGCATCTTTTCAACTTCTGGACGCATGACTTGAAGTGGAAGCTGGAACTGGCAATATTGGCCGACCTGCCTTGCCAGGTCGAAGAAGAACGCCCTGCCAAAAAGCCTAAGCGGTGGCACGAGGCAGTTTGCGAAGCACGGGAGATCCTGCAGATCGAGTCATCGAGGGCTTCCAACCTGTGGGGGGCGCGCCGCTCAGGGCCAAAGGCTGCGAGCCGTAGCTCAAGCCCTGTGCCGTCGCGCCCGTGAAGCTGCTGCCGTCGCTCATGGCCCTAAGACGATCCCAGCTGGTCTTGAAAATCTGACTGACCCCTTTGTCGCCTACCCCTTTGGGTTCGATATAGAACCCGTTTGAGGTAACTGCGAACATGGGTTCTGTATGGAGGGTTTTTCTGCATGGATTCTGTTCAGTGACTGACATGATGCATGTTTTTACATGTAAAAAACATCCAAAAACCATAAATTGCTTTGGGATGGCACCTGGATTGCAGGAAAAGGCAAGAAGGGAAAGGGCAAAGCGCAGTCGCCGGGACTCGAGGCGCGCTACCGTTGGAATGGGGACCGCCGGTTATCTGGCTGCGATCCGCCCCTGTTGGTTGATTAGTTGGGGGATTATGGTTGGTGATGACTGGAACCATGGAATTTTGAATGACTTTCCAGAAACAGTTGGGAATGGAAGTTCAAACACCATCATTTTTCAGAGGGGTGGCTCAATCACCAACCAGATTAGTTGGGGGAATATACTCGCCAATATATTGAGGAATAATCCAAGAACGGGGGAATCCTTAGAAACCTGCCAGGATTTAATGGAATGATAGAGGGATGGCTTGAACACAGCTCAATTGGGGAAGACCTTCAATGTTATCTGATGTTTTCTGGTAAGGTACAGAAAATCCACGGAACTCCGAATTGTTCCTTGAAGATGGGGAAACGCTGCACGCGTTGAGCGAGTTTTACATATTGTTTCCCGGCTATGGCCAAACTCCTGCAAATTTGGACCAGACAAGCCATTTGGGCCTTAGAATCACTTGGATATTCAGCCATATATCGCACTAAAAGTTCTCAGCGTCGACCAGGGGATCAACCGACCACCCAAGCAATATATACATATATATATATATGAGTAACCGACAGAATTAGCGGAAGACTAAAGTAGTGGGGAGTGGACATGGGATGTTTACATTTGTGCGAAAACATTCACAACCGATAGGGGACCACCCACTTACCGATACCCTATTTTTGTACATAGCATGGAAGTACAAACCTTCACAACCGATAGGGGACCACCCACTTTGGCCATGTCCATTGCGGGTAGTCATTAATTTTGTCAGTCACTCATATATATATATATTTATATATATATATATGTACATAGATATGATGATCCATTAGCCAGAGGTTCCTGCACACTGCAGGTTTGGTCGAAAACCGGTTGTGTGACATGTCAACAGCGGCACTATAAACCATCCATTTTGGGGTACCCCCTTTTATGGAAACCCATATATATATGTAATAATACGTTGATCTGGCAACCTCTTCCCATCTTCCCTGGCTGTGCAACGCCAGGCGCCCCCCATGCCATCCTTGGACACGGGCGCGATGGGCGCCATGGGCAACGCCAAGATGTCCAGCCTGGCGGCGCAGTTCGGCTGTGGCGCTGCAGGCGCCTATGGTGGAGGGGTAGATGGGGATGGATGTAGAGTGGGACATATCTATGTATATGTCTATATATAATTATATGTACTCTATATATATATATAGAGAGAGAGAGATAGATAGATAGATAGATAGATAGATAGATAGATAGATAGATAGATAGATAGATAGATAGATAGATATGGGTATATAACACGTAAATGGATATTGATTGATATTGATATATATTTCATGGGTACACATATTTTGATATATGTGTATATGGCACCCCCCCCAAAAAAAAAAGATGGAACTGCCAACGGTTCATGGGCACTCCATAAGGCCATCGACTCTTCAATTGACGGCAACTCTGGGACCCCCCGCACCGGTTCCCAGGGCGGAATGGGCTTTCATTATGGCAAGACACCGACACCTGGCAGAACAGCTGTTTTATGTCCATCTGGTGATCATGCTGTGACAATCCAACTCGCAGTGAAGGGCCCAAAGAATGCCATGATGGCTGAGCAAGTTCGCGCTGTGGCTAGACCATAGTTGAACACTGCGTGGCCTATTTGCTGTGTGCATCTGCGAAAGGTTCCATCAGTTGTCCGATGACTTTTGACATATGGGTGTGTCTGAAAACTGACAGTATACCCCCGGTGGTTTCTCAAAATGGGGGATCCCCAGTCATCACCATGCGTTTCAATAGAAACTGGTTGGTGGTTTGGAACATGGTTTTTATCACTTTCCATATATTGGGAATGTCATCATCCCAACTGGCGAACTCATATTTTTCAGAGGGGTTGGCTCAACCACCAACCAGCAAAATAATGGTCTAATGACTGGGATGATTTGGGGGTACCCCGTTTTTAGGAAACCCCTCAATAGTATTCAATAGTTATGTTAAGATTGAAAATTGTGATAAATCATTGGGGCCCAGGGGCGCGAGTAGCTGGTTTATACTAGCTGGTTTAGTGCCGCTAGGATTCTATTCCATGGTTTATACTATGGTAAATGGGATCTTCATAGGATTTATTGGATCCCCTGAGATTTTTTGCACGGAAAAAAAAAGGGCCTGCGTGATCTTAAGGCGAGGAACATCACATCCAGCAGACGAATAGGAAGAAAACTGCACCAAGAGTGTGGCTACTGCAGAACAAGAAGATCATCAGGATCTAGAAGTTTTGAGTCTTCTGAACCACCAAGCACTGCTAAGGTTTATTTACCATCAGTTTTTTGGAGAATCACCTTTTGTGGTGGTCGGTTGAGTAGCCAGATAGGAAAATCATCGTGTTTCAAGCGTTGATCTGAGGATGAGAGATGTGGCCACCGATGCCTTGTTCAGTTCCACAAATGCGGACGTCAACAACAAACCACTGATCACCAATGGTGAATATTTATTTGGTTTATGACCACAATAGGTTTTTTTCCATGGGTATTGGTTGTTTGGTCAAATCAACATCTTTGTTTCTATAGTCCAAATGATGGTAGAACCACAAGTGCTCATGATAAAGTCACTATGTTGATGGTAACATCACCATGTTGGATGGCTGGGTCTCATCCGGGTAAAATCAGCATGTTTCATGGTTCAATCTCTGTTTTTGATCGTTAAATTTCTATTTGTCATGCTAAAAACCGCATAGTTTTGTTGAAAAACTACAACCCCTCAGGCCCCCTCCCCTGGTTTTCTGTAGCATCAGCCAGGCAACGCGGGCGTGTTGATGGGCAAACCGGGCTTCGGTGACGGTGCACCCACCATGCCTGACGTGGGCTGCATGGCGGGCGGCGGATGCACCGGCTGTGGGCTCTGTGGCTGTGGAGGCGGTAGATGGAGATGTACCCAGTTTTTCTGGGTACCCTCTGGTAAATAATGGGTTAGTAATGGGTTAATAATGGGTTAATAATGGGATGATACTGGGATTTAACCTCTGATACACGTTTAATTACATATCGAACTGGAAAATCCCCGTTTTTGATAGCTAGATCAACTATCAATGGCCATGTTCAATAGCAATATTAAATTACCAGAGGCTAAATCAAGCCCAAATGGAGGTTTGAATCAACAGCAATACGGATTTATAGGGATATTGAAAATGAAGTACCAACAAGATATAGGAAATTTACCATCAGAAAACATCAGGAAACCGAATGGTGAAGAACAGTTTAGTAGAAAATATCATTGTTGATAACTAGTTTTATAAGATGCAGAGTATCTAAATGTGAACATTTTTTTGGCGTGTTTTCTGGGGTTTCACGAGCAAAATCAGGGAGTTTGTGTGGGATTCGATGGAGTTATGCTGTTTGCTTTCTCGGGAAAAAGGTTAGTTTATGTTAGTTTGGTGTGTGTTTACCATTTATTTCGACGAAGTTTGCCCCAACAAATTGTGATGTTGCCTCTCAAATGGGTGTCACTGGTTGCTGGGTCAAATGATCGGTGAAAGGTGGATGATGATGAGACATTTGGAAAAAATGGGGACTTTCACGCAACAACATTGTGGAGTGAATCAAGAGTTGTTTTGCAATCTGAGAAATATGCAAACCATTGGGGATTACCCTCTGGTAAACTAGCATAAGTATGGAAAATCACCATGCTATCAATGGGTAAATCCACTAGAAATGGACCATTTTTAATAGCTATGTTCAATGACCAGAGGCTATATGTTGGGTTTGACTTGTCTTGCCCAGAACAGAACACATCTGGAGATGCCATGGGGATCTGATCAGGGTGCTAAGCCCACCGTCATTGGAGTCAACAACTGTTCTGCCCACCTAACAAAAAGCGGTGTTTTTTTCAAACATTGTTATTTCATTTATCTCTTTCATTTACATATCTAGTTCATTTATCTATTGTATTTATTTATGTATTTATTTATGTGGGATGACCTTTTTATGGCTAACTGATATGTTTCCCAAAAGAGCTGAAACCACCAGCCAACAGTTTTTTTTATCGGTGACCTATGTCCTCATATCCCTTGTAGGAGGCTGAAACCGTTGGATCCGTAACGTTGACAAGCGCCATAAACCAATAGTAAACCTGACTGGGGATGATATTTACCATCAAAAATGCTGATGAATTTGGGATATTTTTTTATGGCATGGTTGATGAATCCCACATTCTTTTCACCATAAATATCATAAATAGCTGGTAACAGCCATTCTTATGGCTGATGAGTTTAACTTACCCTCTGATAAACTTACATAGCTATTGAAAATGGCCATTTAGTTCGTTGATTTAGCTATGAAACATGGTGATTTTTCCAGTTCGTTATGTAAACGTGTACCAGAGGTTAAATCCCATTCTTAACCCACTTAAACCATTAGTATCCGAAAATCCCGTAGTTTATCACTTTTTCCCCTTTATTCAAAATGCAATTCAACTTATGGTCTTATTCAAACGCCATTATCATCCCATTATTAACAACGATTAACCCACAACCGTAAAATCCCACCAAAACCGTCCAACGTCGCGCGCCATCTACAGGTTGCGGCTGCAGCGGTTGCCAGCCCTGTGGCTGCGGGAATCTTCCCATGGGCAGCTGTGGTTGTGGAGGCCGCAGCTTTTTTTTGGTGTTGCGGAGACTCCCCCCAAAAAAAGCCCAAAAATATGTGGAAATCATGTGAATACAGGGGAAGTCATGGGAAATTTGGGGGAAGTCATTGGAATGGTGGATTTTTAATGGGATTTCATGGGCATAGCCTGTATGCCCTCTGGTAATTTGACAGTTTGCTATTGAAATGGTCCATTTGAAATGGTGTTTTCAATAGCTATGGGAAACCGGAAGGTACAGACAAATCTTGGTGAAAAATGGAGCTACTCATGTTTTCACAGAAGCTTTAAAGTTCTGCAGGCGCTGGATCATGTTTTATTTGGTCGTTGATCTGAAATATGAGTTGTTTCTGAAAAATAGGATGATGATCGCATCACTTTCTTAGGGTCGGGTGGGTCTTTTTGCCACTGGGTGGGTCTATAATGGCCCATGAGCATCAAACCGGCTGATTCTTTGAGGGATGGAAGTATCCATAATATATTGGCGTCCCATTTTGTGACTCATGTGCTATGGGTCATTGCCTCTGCCTGGAGGATCCCAGTTTTTAATACCATGTATACCTGGGTGAACTAAGCCAACACGAAGCAGAAAAAACCGCATCGTCGACCCAGTGACCCTCCAAGTTTAGAGATGAACTTCAATCCATTACCCATATGATCTATGGGGCTGATATATTTACCTACATGACTGGGTAATTTTTGGAGTAAATGTTGGTAAATATATATATATATATATGAGTCCCGGTCCCCGGACCCCCACAACCCCCCCCCCAATGGTATCCCCCCCCCACTCCTAACCCCCCCCACCCCCCCAAAACCTAGTATTTGCATGTTATTTGCACATATACATACACATATACACATATATACTCCCCTTTCCACCCCTCCAACCTCGCATCTCTACGTTATTTGCAGCACTTGAGAGCCACGACCTCGTCAACGGACCTTGTCTACCTGTATATTTCTATCATAACTTTTTTTCGAACCGCCTATAGCGTACCTCGCACATGGTTTACAACATATTTGCTACCTATGGATTACGCAAAGCTTACCTATGCAAACCTAGACATATGTACAGTAGAAAAACAATATATATATATATATATGTATGCACATTCTAGATACTACAGATTGATATCTTGATCTTGTATCTATCACATATTTCGTTTACATTGTACATACTGTACACGTATATATATATGTATATATATATATATATGTATATATATATGTATATATACATATGCATATATATATACATAAACTCTAGATATACAGCGTGTATTGCTGTCGATATTCAATATACCACATATACTATGTAAAAAATATTCAACGAACATATTTACCTATATTGTATATATTACATCTACTGTGGATACAGTACATGTGGCATATACTATCTATATTCTATCAAAAACCACATATACGATATATATATATATGTGTGTTCAATATATATATATATATATATGTCAAATATATATATATATATATATGTATTATATATATATATATATATATAGATTGCATATATTCTATTTATATCTTACATATTATATATATGTTTATATATATATACACTACACATACACTCTATATTACATATAGTATATCCATTCTAATTATCGATACATATGCATTATATGCACTATAAAGACTACATACACCATGGCTTGGCTGCTGAGAAAACCCCCCCTCCCCTGCCACAGGGGGGGGGAACCATCTGGCTGGGTGGGGGGGGGTGTGGGGGTCCCTGCTCATATATACACGTATATATACCATACACGGAGCATTTGGGTTAGGGGTTCACCCATGAATTGTTCCCATCGATGCTCAGATGACCCCACCACAGGCATGGACAGTTTCCATGGTCGAATGACCTGGATGAGGGTACCCCCATGACTTCGGAAACCTCCTGTAATGGGTATATTAAACAAATAATATGATGCAATTTGATTTCATGCAAAATATACATTTAATATACTTGTGAAAAAATGTTTCTAATATCAATATGATGTAGAAGTACATACTTAATATGGTGTTTCGGTTTCCTATCTAATATCATATTAACTAATGGTACAACTTGATATTGTGGCTGCTATCAGATGTTTCAGAAACCTCTATGGGGATCAAGAGATGGCGCCCAGGTGGATGTGGCTGTGGTGGTAACTGTGGTGTGCCTCAAAATCTCAACGCAGTCCGGCGCCAAGCGTCGCGTCGCGAAAAGACCATGGGGAAACTCAACAGAGGGGCCCCACTTGGGATTTTTGTAGGTTTATAGTCGATAGTTTCAAGTTGGTTTACAATGGTTTATCGACTGTAGGAATTATGATGGATATATCGTTTATATTCGTTTATAATGTTTATAGTCGTTAGATGGATATATCGTTTTTTATTTATATAGCATTTATGATGGATTATAGGATTTATTTATTGGAAACCAAATGAAATATTGAAATAACCCAAATGGGGGGCCCTTCCAGCGCCAAACTTGGGTGAACTCGTCTCAGTTAATAGAAACGACCTGCAAATTGTCATCGATCTCTAGCCATTTCCGGAGGTCTTGCAACTCTTATCGATTTTGATCCCGGGATATCCCGAGAATCGAACATTTTTGCTGGATATATTGCTGTTTTCTCATGCCACGGGTCACGAACAAATCCAGTACCCTTTGGTCGAACATGGGAAATACACCAGAAATGGAGGTTTTGAGATTTGATCATCGAAGTAAATGTGGAACAATACTGGAGGCTGTTAAAAAATCACCACAGAAGCGGTTGTGAAACGAATTGAAAAGACATGGGATTCTGGGTCCACAGAATCACGCGTCGTCTATGGTCTCACCATGTCCCACCATTCTAACCCATCATGTCATGGAGGTTTCTG